GCTTTTCCCCATAGTTCTGCTAAGGATAACCCAAACTAGCGTCCTCCCGTCACCCAAAGCTCAGTATACCGCGATCTACAGCTCGTGGTATACTGAGACGCCGCAGCCGGAATGGATCCCGATAATTTTGACCATTCTTCCAGAAGCGCATTTGTGAGGTCAGTTACTGGACGAGAAGGCCAGGCTCTCAGTCTCTGCTCTAATTCATCCCAAAGGTGTTCTGTTTGGTTGAGGTCAGGACTCTGTGCAGGCCAGTCAAGTTCCTCCACACCAAACTCACTTATCCATGTCTTTATGGACCTTGCTTTGTGCACTGGTGCACAGTCATGTTGGAACAGGAAGGGGCCACCCCCAAACCTTTCCCACAAAGTTGGGAGCATGAAATTGCCCAAAATGTCTTGGTATGCTGATGCCTTAAAAGTTCCCTTCACTGGAACTAAGGGGCCAGGCCCAACACCTGAAAAACAACCCAACACCATAATCCCCCCTCCACCAAACTTGGCACAATGCAGTCAGGCAAGTACCGTTCTCCTGGCAACCGTCAAGCCCAGACACGTCCATTGGATTGCCAGACAGAGAAGCGTGATTCGTAACTCCAGAGAACACGTCTCCACTTCTCTAGAGTCCAGTGGCGGTGTGCTTTACACCACTGCATCTGACGCTTTGCATTGCACTTGGTGATGTAAGGCTTGGATGCAGCTGCTCGGCCATGAAAACCCATTCCATGAAGCTCTCTACACACTGTTGTTCCAATCTGAAGACCACACAAAGTTTGGAGGTCTGTAGCTATATACTCTGCAGACAGTTGGCAACTTCTGCGCACTGTTTGCGTCAGCATGCACTGACCCCACTCTGTCATTTTATGTGGCCTACCACTTAGTGGCTGAGTTGCTGTTGTTCCCAGTTGCTTCCACTTTGTTGTATTACCGCTAACAGTTGACCGTGGAATATTTAGTAGTGCCCCACTGTTGGTATCAGTGGGAGGAAAAGCGGCCCACTTTTGGTGTCAGTGGGAAGAACTTTGCCTATCGTTGGTGTCAGTCAGTGACACAATATTCGGAATAAGATCCATGTTAATAAAAGGTTGTAACCTTAAAAAATGTGGAAAAGTCTAAGTGGGGGAAATACCTTACTTATGCAAGACATTACAGAAGTTAGATTCGGGAAGTAAGGGGTTAAGGCATTATTTTCCAGGTTAGGTTTAAGGAAAGCTAAATTGGTGTTGTGTCCTTTTTATTGATTTATTTTTTCTTAGTTTATAAAGAGAGAGCAAACAAGATGCTCTTTTCTTACTAGACTCTTTCTAAGCTTGACCTATTGAACCTTAGTCCTTTTTTTGGGGGGCAAAGCAATTATGAATTGCATGAACAGCACATGAAAAGGAGCCCAAATTGTGTCAAGTGTGTAAAAGAGCACTTGTGTTTTCAGGAGCTACATTCCATTCATATGAACACATTCTGTGGAATGCATGAAACATTGTCCACGCTTCTGATTTGTTGAGTGGGATTCCATTGGCTGATATAGAGTCTAAGCATAAAAATCACAGATGCTCGTAAAAGAACAAATACTGTACATATCACTGATACAATAATTGTTTTGTAACTGTTGTATAAGACTATTGCCCTAAAGAATATCGAAAGCATTTTTTTTTTTTCATTTTAAATAGAGTCGAGACTAGTAAAAAAACCAAAAAACTTTTTTAAAAGTTTTTTGCCATCTGTGTCCCATTCAAGAGATTTCCCTTCACTTGCTGTTCTGTAGACATAATAGGAAGTGGGAGAAATCTATCCAAAGTGATAAACCCCTCTTGGAGAGTTGTCACTGAAACAAGTGTTCCCATCAGAAGAGTTTCCCTGTTCTGGTGACAACTCAAATTTTGGGTTTTTCTATCACTTTTATTCCCACTGACAGTGGTCACTAGAACACATAGAGGGGTGAATCTTCCCAGCAGTAACACAGGCAGTAATAAACCTCATAAGGATTCCAGCCCCTCACCCCTCTATCCAAAACTAATAGAAAAGTTTTGGCTTTAGATACATGTTAATATTTTCCATTTTTTGAGAGATGATGTCATAAGCACAGACATGATCACATAATTCTTCCGCTATCATGCTGTAACCAGGAAGTATATTTCTGCACAATAAAGCACAGTCGCAGCCACACAGGCTTTCTAATCAGTGTGGGTAAATGTGAGTACTAATAGCTTTTTTTTTCCTATAAATTTTATACCAGTAATGATGTCCTGAAAAAACACTTGTGTGTTCTCCAGATAATGCATGTCATTTGATTTATGATATTGTGTGAGTACATATCAAAACAGGTGAGGGACAGGGCTGTATACGGATTATAAATGTAAAAACAATACAGGTGAGGGGAAGATTATATGAAGATTATATATAAAAAAATACAGGTTTGGGGCAGGTAGGTTATATATAATAAAATACAATGCAGGGCAATATAAAGATTATATATAAACAATACAAGTGATGGCAGGGTTGTATAAAGATTATACATAAGAAAAAATAGGTGAGGGGCAGGTTTGTAAAAATAGTTGAGATGCAGGGTTGTATAAAGATTATACATAAGATTATACATAAGAAAAAATAGGTGAGAGGCAAGGTTGTATAAAGATTATATATAAATAAAAATAGGCGAGGGGCAGGGTTGTATAAATATTATATAGATTTTAAAAAATGAGG